GATTCGTCATATAGGAGTACACGGATACTTAAGATACCCTAGCTGACATATTGCTTCAGACTGTTTGGTACTGCTATTGTCAGAAAAAGATTTAAAATCTTTGCTGAAAGATAAAGATTTCAAACAACTACAAGTATAATTTATTTTTTATTAGAATATTAATTTAAAAGAAGCTTATGCTTTTTTCATTTGACGATATGATCATAGAAATTCGAAGTATATTTTTCATTAGATTTAATACACTAAAGGTTCATTTAGCCGTTACCGCGACTACTGGTATAGTTAGGTAAAGTCGAATTGATTTATCGAATTTTTGAAACCCATGTCTAATATTTAACAAATAGTAGAAATTTTCGTGATCTGTTTTATCTTCATCTAATCTGTATTAATAACAACATTAAAAAAATTTAAAATCATAAGTACTTCACCTTTCAATTTTTCAATATCAATATCACTATGAGAAAAATCTATAATTATTTAAATTCGCAACATCTTCAACAGACAGTGCATTAGTAGAAGGCTCTAAAACACCCATTCAAACATGTAATTCGAAGATTCATGCATCAATAACAAAAAAAAAAAAACTTTTCAATTTATTCTTAAAATTCTAATGTCCCTTCCAAGCGCTATTATATCATAATTTCAATAAACTATACTATAGCAGCTTATAGGCAAAACTCAACATTTTTCTAAACTGAAATGACCTTACTGATCATACAGAGATGAAAATATAATTATCAAGTGACTCCTAAATCGAACGATGAACTTTTTACAACTCATAATTTTCTAGTGTCACATTTTTTTTCTGAGGCTTTTTATTTATATAAGCGACATGCGATTTTGATTTTTTAAATGAGAGTACGGAGTGCAAAAAAAAAACTGCTTCCCCATTGAGATTAAAATGTAACTAAATATTTATTTATAATTATAAATGAACTAAATTATATACCAACAGTAACAATAATGAATGTGCAAATATACAATAACAATTTAATACAATCTTACAAATTGAAGAATTTAAATTAAACAATAGTCACTATTTTTTCACATATTAGAAAATTTAATTTTAAGAGAGAATCCATCAGACTACTAATGAAGCATGTAACACGACAAATTTTGACTTTTAAATCAGTTATACCATTCAAAAGCTCGAGAAAAGTTATGTTCAAACTCAAATTTTTAGCCCCTTCTGTAAGTCCTATCAAGAGATATGAATGGATCTTTGAATCCACCTTCAGGTACTATTTTATGAATTTTAGAGAATTCTATGTAACACTTTATGACTACATATATTAGCATCAAAGATCCTTCTGCTTTAGTATTAGTTAACGTATCTTGATTAGATCTGTAAAGTACATTATGATAGAACAAGATTGTCTAATATAAATCATGTCTAAGGAGTCTCTAATGTGTTATTTTTAACTAAACCAATTGAAAAAAAAATAATCATTTTTTATGAAAAGTTTTTATATTTTTGCTCTGAAAGTATACCAGAACAATTCCTCTCCTCAAAACCTTTTTGCATCAGGAGAAAGCCTGTCAAAAAATTGCATCTTTCTATATATAATTCAACAAAAAAAATATGTGAAGAGATTATTTAATTTTTGAGCTCAAAGAAGATCATTACGATGGGAAATAAGTCCATATAGGGTGACAAAATAGTGACTATTGTTTAATTTAAATTTTTCAATTTGTAAGATTGTATTAAATTGTTATTGTATATTTGAACATTCACTATTGTTACTGTTGGTATTTAGTTCATTTATAATTATAAATAAATATTTAGTTACATTTTAATCTCAATGGACGAGCAGTTTTTTTTTTGCACTCCGTACTATTATTAAACATAGTGTTAAAGTATCTAAGGAAACCATCTCTGAAATTTTAAACCATTTCATCTGCAGAAAAAATCGAAACAAAAGAATTTGTGACTGGGGAATTTGCTCATAAACAGCTGATACAATATTTAGATTGTCCTGAAATTTTCAGTAACAATTGTTTTTTTTACTTTTTGGAAGTACGACATGTTGAAGAGAAATTGGATTTTGTGAGTTTTTAGAAAAATATTGCTGATATTTTTATGCTTTCAATATCTTAGTAATCAAATTCTTCTGACTTTTTTCAAGTTTTATAAAATTTTAAAGACTATACATGTCGCAACATGAAATGAAAAATTATCTCTGAAATTCTCTGCAATGCAATATACACATTTCAGTTTTTACAATAAAATAAGATTTTTATTACACGCAACCTTGAGGTTGCATGCAGATGACCAAGTCTTAAATTCAAAATATCGTTGAAGCTGAGCCTACAGAAGCTAAAATCGTGTGAGACTTAAGCCTCACCGGACTTATATGTTCTACCGCCACTGAGTTCGTTGAATATCTTCAATAAAATTATTTAATGCTATTATTGTACTATCATGTTCATTTATATCAGTATGTTTTTTTTTATTTAAAAGAATTTCAAATTTTATTTTCACTAATCAAATTAATTTATTGTTGATTAGAATGAAATTATATTTGTTATTGTTGACTTGTGAATGAAATTTGTTTATTGTCGAAGTGAATATTATTAAAAATTATATGAGTGTACTAAAATAAAAACTGAAATTAAGATAAAACATCTTAATAATTAATTCTGAAAAAATAAGTCGATTGTAGAAAGTTTTATTATATTTAAATTATATTAATATACTTACCATTGATTTGATATTTATGTGTGTTGAACTAATCAAAAATGATAGAAGTATATATTTTATTTCAATAGAATGAAAAATTTAATGTTATATGATTTAAATATAAATCATCTATTTTTTTGAATGAATCTTTCAAAAGTTTTCGACCTCTTTCAGTAAATCGATAATATCTATGACAAACTTATATATTGTTAATTGATCGAAATATGTAATTTTGTAGAGAAAGATCAGAGCTATCATATGAGAAAAAAAAAAAGATAGTTCAAAATCGATAAGTATGGTCATTTTACTAATCTTGAATTCATATTTTCATCTTACAATTTTTGAAAAAAAAATTTTCAATAACAAAGCGAAATGATTGATGATTCTGTGAGATTGACATTTTGTATAAATATCAATAGTCGAATTTGATAATGCATTGACCTTGTTTTTGAATGTACTTACTAATAATCATTGTCTCACATTTTTGTTGACTAAAATGTTTTCATATACAATAATCTTTTTTTTTTTTCATATCAAATAATGAATTAAGCTCATGTTTACTTAAATCCTATCGAATACTACTTCAAAAATTTTTCTATTAGTTATATATCATCTATTTGACTTTGAAATAAATACTAAGAATTTTATTATAAAACGGTAAAAATTGTCAGAAAATAAATGTAGATAGCTGTTAGCATTTTAAAGGACAAATTTCAAACAATAGACCTCATAAAACAAAGTTGCCAATGTAGAAAACATTAACAATATGCATACGTTTATAAAATCACAATATGACCACTATCATTTGATTAAAATTATATGTTTTATAAAAAAGTTTACAAGCAAAAACATGCAACGCTTATAAAAAGAATTTATTTATTAGAAAAAAATTGTAAGATAGATAAAAATGTTTACTCAAGATTAATAAAAATGACCAAAACATTATCTTGCATTTATACATTTCGAAATATTTTATTTTCAAATGATAGTTCTAATCTTTCTCAACAAAATTATATATTTCAATTAATTAACTATATATAGGTTTGTAGTAAATAACATCAATTTACTCAGAGAGGTCGAAAATTTTCAATTATCTTTTAGAATAGGTCTGCTTTAAATAATTCAGTAATCAGTTTGTGCATTATTGCTTAATCTTAATAGGTTTTTTTCTCTAATCAAATGAAGATTCTCAATCAAATCCATAACATCATGTTCGTATGGATTATTACATTTCAAAAAACAAATGATATTTCTAATATTAAGAATTAACTAAAGAAATAAGTCAAAATGTAGATAATACTCCAACGAAATACTAGGACAAATTCTCTCAAATCTTCTTCGATGACATCAGGACAAGTCAAACATAAAAATGTGTAGTTTTAGTTTACTGACAACCAACATCACCGAATTAGTGTAGTTAACACATAATGACTATACAGACACCAGTGTGTGATAAAATATTGTAACATTCTGCTACAAAAATAGACATGTTTTCATAGATTTGATGTCTCAATGTTGTTGAGAACAGGAATGTCAATATAACCAATGTTTCAGTGCACCTCCTATCAGTATTTACAACACACTACACATCCAAGGTCAAACATGAGAATGCACTCTTCATTAAAAGGATATTACTACACATTTTTGATCGAATAAAACATACTATATTGATTGCAAGTCTCGAACAACATGTTCATATATAACAGAGAAGACTATGAGTTCTTTGTCCAAGTCAATAATTATTTAAAAAAAAAAACAATGTTGTTTTGTTTTTCGTGTGTAGTATATTTCGAAACTCTAACAGAGAATCGTCATGCATGTTCATTATTTTATCAATTTGTATAAAAATAGTTTAATTAATATGAACTTTCAACTTATTCTATAAATGTTGTGTCAAGTAAAATTGAAATCGTCCTTGTTATCCAATTCATTTCGATAAACAACAATTAAGCTAATATCTCATTCTTTAGTCTTTTTTCTCCTATTGATTCAATATTATTTTCGAATAAAAATTATTCTATTCTCTTTTTCCCCATAGTATCCCTCTCCAGTTTTGTATCACATTTTTTTTCGTAGACTAATCATTGTTTTATGTAAAAAAAAACGACCTTCACAGCAAGGTTGTAATGCGTACAAGCGAAAATATACAGTTGCTTGTCTCTTCTTCACTCTCTCCTCTCCACTCTCTCTCCCCTACTATTTCATCTCTATCCATGCATGATCGACTGGGCCTATATAAGCATTGATCCATCGGTAGCTTTACTTCATTCTTATTTTCATCAGTAAGTACTCTATTCACATTAACAGTATACGAACAATCATGGCTGCTCATGCTGCCTTCAGACAAGCTGATCTTAATGCCGATGGACGTATTGATCTTGGTGAATTCCGTAACTTCGTAGGTAAGTTGATATATGTTCAATCATTGTGAGTGTATTTATTAATGATAATTATTGCTTTTTACAGGTCAAAATCTTGGTGCTGGTGCTGGCTGGAGTGGTGCTGGTGCTGGCTGGGGTGGTGCTGGTGCTGGTTGGGCTGGTGGTGCTGGTTGGGGTGCTGGTGCTGGTTGGGGTGCTGGTACTTCAGGCTTTGAATCAGCAGGATGGCAATCATCTGCATCAGGTGCTGAACTTGATGGTGGTTATGATGCGTCATACGCTGTTGGCGGTGGTCTTGTTGGCGGTGGTCTTGTCGCTGGTGGTTACGCCGGTGGTGCTGAAGTACTCGCAGGCGGTGTTGGCCTTGCTGGTGAAGCTGCTTTCATTGGTGGTGGAGCCGCCTTTGATTCATCAGCTGCAGTAGCCCATCAAGTTCACTATGCTACTGATGCTCAAGGTCTCTTCCAAGATCCAAATCCCACTATCATTCGTCGCCCAGCTCCTGGTGGCGTACAAACATATACACAAAACGTTCATGTTCGATTCCTTCAACCTCCACCTGTTCCACCCCCAGGCGTGAGTTATTTCTATCATTGATCATGAACTGTATTATAATGTTTAATTTTCTCTCGTCCTATAGCCACTCATCATCAGAGAAATACGCCCACCTCAACCACCTGTTCCACCCCCACTTCGCCTTCGTCAAGTAGCTCCACCTCTTCCTCCACCACCTCCACTTGTTCTTCGTGAAAGACCACCACTACCACCACCAGTGATTGCATCTCAAACAGTCATTCGTCGTTTACCCGGTTTACCAGTTCCACCACGATCAGTCATCATTGAACGTCTTCCACCCCCTCCACCACGACCACGTTAGTAGTTGATTTCCTTTTGTTATTTTAGTTTTCTTATCATATTAATCATTCATATTAGGTGACATCATCATCGAACGTTGGATTCAATATGGACCTCAAGCTCAACGACGTACT